ATTTCTTGGCAGAGATGAGTGAGTGCCTCTTGTGCCGCCTCACTTTCTTGAGAGATTTCAATTTTTATTCCATCAATTCCTGGTGCCTTGTTCTTTGCCAATACCTTCAGAGTACCTTGGACTTCTTCCTTCAATATCGTTGGCTCTTGATCACATGCTACCTCTTGAAATGGTTGAACATCCACGATTTCTTTTTGGTACAATGACTCTATGTTTTCCTTCCATCTTCTTTTGATGCTTCTGCATCGTTCAATATTTTGCCCAGAGAATCCTTCAGTATTGCAAGTGGAGGCTTGAATTTTGTCTTCAGTTCCTTCAGCTTGAGAAACGCTGAGCATGTTCCTTCCTTTTGGTTTTCTGACTCCAGATCTTGACAAATTTCATTAAAATATTTGAGTCACAGATAGCCACTGCCAAATATTGATGTTAACCCACAGCATGTGATTTAATTGAGCCTAATTATCACACAGAATGCATGCATAGATTTCTATTAGATTCTCCCCTTTCTAAGTCTGTCATTACATTGTAGATGAATCACTTTAAACTGAAGATCTGACGGAAACTCCTTAATTACGCTCACAAGGCCAATCACTATGTTGCTCCTTGGATATCGGGAGCCCTAATGAGTCTGCCTTCCTCTTGTCACCTTTTAAGTGTTCTCATTCTCCTGTGGTGTTTTTCTGTGTGTTAGGGATACTGTGAAGTTCTTAGCTTGGCAATTTCCACATCTACTGTCTTCAGCATAGTTACAGTGAGGCTTTCTGCTCACGCAGATTTCCAGTCTTGGAAAGCTTACACAGGGTTGCTATGAGTCAAAACCGACTTGACGGCACACAACAACATAGCGCCACTAAGGAGCCCTGGTGGCTCAGTGAGCTAAGCACTGGATATCTAGACACAAGAGAAAGAGGAGACTTGCTGCTCCCATAAAGATTTACAGCCGCAGAAATCTATACAGGGTCACTCTGAATCGGTGGCACACGACAGCAGCAAAGTGTCACAAAGGAGCCCTGGTGTTGCAGTGGGGTAAGCACTGAGATGCTAACCACAAGGCTGCCGGTGCAAATGCACTGGATGCTCTGCAGGACAAAGAGGAAACTGCCTGCTCCTATAAAGATTTGCAGTCTCAGAAACCCTACGGCGCAGTTGTACTCTGTCCTATGGGAAGACTACGAGTCAGACTCGATTAGACAAACATGGGTGTAGTGTCACTGCAAAATAAACTTTTTTCATCTAGTTTGATGACACAGTAATTCATACTTCATTGTGCTTTACAAGTGCAACATTCTACATCTCCATCTCTTGTTGTGATGGATGATGTAGCAGTAATACAATGCAATGTCACAACCTGGTGACACGGTTAGCTGAGATCTGCAGGCTACCAGACAGCAGAGTCCACTGTGGCCTCCTCCTAGCAACTCCATCCACTCACCTGCATGAAAGCAGCAGCCATAGACAAGACATACAAGGGAGCGTGGCTGTGAACTTATATAACTTTCTGCACAGCCAGCAAAACCTAAGTTCATGTTGGTCTCGCAGGTCATAAAATCGTTTGCTTTTTCTAATCACTTAAAAATGTAAAAGCCATTCTTGCACTGAGGGCCACATGAAGTCAGGAAGTAAGTTGAATTTGGCCCTAGGGTCAAAGTTTGCCAATCCCTGCTCTGGACCTGGAATCCCATTCTGAAATGCCAAAATGGGCCAGTGAGAAAAGACAGACAGAAAGAGGGTAGACAGAAGAACGCACCTTCCATCTGCAGAGCATCACCTCTACGCGCCATGACTGACTAAAGTCATTTAGGAACGTGGCCTAGTGCTGCCTGGTATTTGACTTTGACCAAAAAAGCCAGACATTTGGGGCTCTTGTTGCTTTTTGCCTTTCTTTCTCTCTCTCTGTTTTTTCCCGATATAAACTACAAAGGCAAGATGTTCAACTACAGCACAAGTCAAATGAAAAGGGTCCATGAGCCAACTAACCTGCTGCCTACATGAGGTTATCTCAAAATGCTCACTGAAAGACCTCATTCACTGGGAGGACTGAGCTGGGGTAGCATCATTTACAGATTCCTCCTGACAAGATGCAGGAGACACTCTCAGAAGGAACTTGTTAGACCAGGTGACAACACGGCATGCCCTGGTTAAGCATGCTGACGGAGCCTCCAAAAGTTACCACACTGTGTTCTTGCTCTCTTACCTCTTCTCCTAACATATGCAATTCGTGAAGCTAAATAATTCCACCCCTGAATACACCACTTGTTGTTTGCTGTCGATCCAGTTCTGACTCATAGCAACCCTGTATAGGGTTTCCGAGGAGGAGCTGGTGGGTTTGAACCACTAACCTTGCAGCAGACAGTCTGGCAATACAATGCTCATCTTACAGTGCCAAACCACTACGTCACTAGTGCATACATCACCAGTAGGTATTATTAAAAAATAGAGGTGAATCATGCACAGTACAAAGACAGGCTTGTAAAAGAAATTACTGTTTTTATGATAACCAAATTGAATGCTTTGAAATTAAAAATTTATTATTAAAATTTTACTTTCATCATATAAATGGACATGATAAGAATAAAAAAAGAAAATGTAGCGTCAGAAACTGTCAGACTCGGGATCATCTGCATTCATCATGTGTCTCCCACAGCTGTCAAGTTGGTTCCAGCTGGTGGATTCGAACCACCCAATTTTCAGTAACAGTCCAGGGTTCTTCATAATGTTTCACTAGCATCTAAGTTCTCACTGTACATACCAAAAGATGGCACATTGTGAATACGGTTTAGGCCAGAAAGGGAATGCAAACTCCAGTCAGCAGACCCCCATGCAAAGAAAAAGCCCTGACCCTTCACCCAAAGACAGGCAAATGGATATATATTTACGTGTTTATAAAGTTATTAAAAGTGTATATATATATTCACTTGGCAGAAGTCCTTGTTTCCACTAACTTTTCTGAGTAACTGACCAACTACAGTCCTGAATGCATCGCAAGAGGGATCTGGAACAAGAGGCTCAGGTGACAGGCATTTATTTGGACCCGTGGGGAAGTCGGCAGGCAATGACCTTTGCTGATTTCTGCAGTGCCTTGTCTATGAAAGCTCTCGGGTCTTGGGAAGTGAGGGCATTCTCTTCCTTGGTTTCTGATGCTCCAGCATCCTCTCTTCCTAAATTCAAGAGAGAAGACAGAGAGAGAGAAGAAGAGTCCATTAGAGGCATTTCCATTGGACACACAGAGCTGGAAGGGTTCTTACAGAGAAGGAAAGCCGGGCCCACGGGAGCAGGGTGAAGTGGGTAAGGCCAATCATGTCACACTCGAAATGACTACAAACAACGAGCACTGGCAGCGGCAGGTGCCATGTTCTCTGTGCCACAGTTTTCCATAGGCTGGTAAACAGAACGCAAGTGGAGAGCATTTGAGGGGGCTTCATAAAGTCAGGGAAAAAATGGAATGGAAAGATAATGGAACTCTTCCAACAACTTTTTGAAGCCCCGTCATACAGTTATGCTGAATTAAACTAAAGTGCACACCCAAAATAAAACAAACAAACCAAAGGAAACTCGCCGTTATTCAGCATGGCCCTAGCCCACAATGAAGACTAGAGATAGGTTAATTTATTATGCACATCTGCTGAAATAAAACAAAATCAAATGCTAACTTTTAAAGTACTTTGGGGCCAGCCATTACAAACAAAATGGTGGAAAAGAGATTATATTTATTAAGTAAAAAAATTTTTTTTAAAGCCCAACCCTGATTTTCCTGGCTTTTCTCAGCAGCATTATATAAAGAGTAAAGTACTTAACGTCTTTTAATGTTTAATTTCCTTTTTAAAAAAATTTATAAAATGCGCATTCACCCCAAGAAACTGAAACCCCATCTTTTCAGTAAAGAGGCAATTCAGCTCCTTATAAGAGGCATACAAACCCTCAGGCACACAAATGGTAAACAACACACTTCGTCTGGTATCTTCTTTTGTTACATTAGATTTCCCTCCCCAGTCCCCCCAAAGTTCTTAGTCAACTGCATTGGCGTTTTGAGAGATTCTAAGGGTCACAACCAATTCATGTGGGACCCACTCCAGATAGCTAAGGAAGACTTATACTTATCATGGTTGAGACATGATCAAAGGCCAAAATAAATAAATAAATCCTTTCAGGACTGGCTGCCTCTTAGCAAAGGCTCAGCTTCAAGCCAATTTTACCATTCTGGGCGTACTCTGGAAACACTGACATGCTTTCACCTACTGGGGATTAAGAACGGTCAACTGTTTGCTTTTCCATCGATGCTAAAACCATACCTAGCAAAGCGTCGACCGACCGAAAAGCACAGGTCTCATTGTTTTCCAGAAAAAGAAATAAAAACAAAATCTTTCCCACTGCCAATCAACCTGTTTCTGATGAAACAGTTAAATCTCTTTACTGTAGATATGAATCTGGATTCCAAAAGCATTAGATGCCTCCAGAACATCTTTCATAATCTTGGGGAGAGAAAAAAATCTCAAATACTTTGTTGATCTGCCTGATAACAAAAGTGCCAAGGTGTTCTCCAGAACAAGAGAATTAAAGGATGATGCTCACTGCCATTGCCTTGGTTCAGACTGACGGCAGCCCTATAGGTTTCTGAGACTGTCAATCTTTAGGGAAGCACACTACATCTTTCTCCCATGGAGCAGCTGATGGGTCTGTACCACCGACCCTGTGGTTAGTAGCCCAACACTTAACCCACTGCACCATCAGGGCACCTTAAAGAAAAACAAGGAGGCTGGAATTGTCATGCACATGCCCCCCATCCCCTGCCCCCCCCTCCCCCCATCTAAACACCCTATGTCAGTGCCGTCTGCCTCAAGACAGGGTAGCGACAGAGATCATTTGTCCATAGCAGGCCCAACCCTGGGGCAACCAAGGAAGACTCCACCTTCGATGACTATTGTTTCACACTGCATTCTAATAACAAGCCAGTCTTCTGTTCCAAACATTATGCCAGGTTACAGCCAAAAAAAAGAGGGCAAGCCACAGAAGTGAGCCCAATCATCTCTGAACTCACACCTGAACATGACCTTCTCATCCTCAGAGCTCATAAGGAAATCCTGGCAGAAACGAGGCTTTGTTCAGACAAAGAGCTAGCTAGTGAATTACACTGAGGCTTACAGCCTTGCAAGTGAGCAACACAGGCACATTCAGTGAATGGGAAGAAGCAGGACGCCAGGTAGAAAGGTGAATCACCTTAAATGGGTTTCCAAAAACTACGTCTTACCATCCTGAATAATAAAGTTGTTAATTTAATAAGGGAATCTACCACATTATTTAATCCAAGATTGTTTAATCACAAGATCATTTGCTCATTCCACAAGTATTTACTGAACAGTAGGCATTGAGGATTTATTGTTGTGTGCCGTAGAGTCAGCTCCAATTCAGTGAACCTGTATAGGGTTTCCGAGGCTGTAAATCTGTACGGGAGCAGAAGGTCTCATTTTTCTACCTTAGAGCAGCTAGTGGACTCAAACAGCTGACCTTACTACGGTTAGCAGACCAATGCATAACCTTCTAAACCACCAGGGATCCTACTGAGGAAGTGTTGTAGTTGCTAAGTGCCACCGAGTCAGTTCTAACTCATAGCAACCCTGTATACAGTTACCAAGGAGCAGCTGGTGGATTTGAACCATCAACCCTGTGGTTCACATGTACAGGTGGCTATTGAAAATACCATGGCTGGGGTTAGGTACACCTTAGTCCTCAAACTGATATCTTTGCTCTTCAACACTTTAAAGAGGTCTTGTGCAGCAGTTCTGCCTACTGCAATCCCTCGATTCATTTCTTGCCTACTGCTTCCAGAGTGTTGATGGTGGATCCAAGCAAAATGAAGTCTGTGACAACTTCAATCTTTTTTACATTTATAATGTTATTTATTGGTCTAGTGTCAAGGATTTTTATTTTCTTTACATTGAGGTGCAGCCCATGCTGAACACTGTGGTCTTTGATCTTCACCAGTAAGTATTTTAAGTCTTCTTCACTTTCAGCAAGCAAGGTTGTATCATCTGCATATCTCAGGTTGTTAATGAGTCTTCCTTCAATCCTGATGCTACTATACTCTTCATATAAACCAGCTTCTCATATTTGCTCAGCACACAAACTGAATAAGTATGTTGAAAGAATAAACCCAGAGCTTGTCAGGATCCACACAATTGAAAGCCTTTCCATAGTCAATCAAGCATAGGTAAACATAGTTCTGGTATTCTCTGTTTTTAGTCAAGATTTATCTGATATCAGCAAGGCTATCCTTGTCTAAATTTACTCGTCTAAATCCAGCTCGAACCTCTGACAGTTCCCTGTCAATGCACTGTTGCTGCCATTTATGAATTATCTTTTGCAAAATTTTACTTGAATATGATATTAATGATATTGTTTGATGATTTCTGCATTCCGTTGGGTTACCTCTTTTTGGAATGGGCACAAATACGGACCTCTTCCAATCAGATGGCCAGTCTGCTATCTTCCAAATTACTTGGCATAGATGAATGAGTGCCTCTAGTGTCGCCTCAGTTTGTTGAACGAGTTGAATTTGTAATCCATCAATTCCCCAAACTTTGTTCTTTGCCAATACCTTCAGTGCACCTTGGACCTCTGCCTTCAGGATCATTGGCTCATGAGCATATGCTTTCTCTTGAAATGGTTGAACATGGACTACTTCTTTTTGGTACAGTGACTCTGTGTGTTCTTTAATCTTCTTTTGAAGCTTTCTGCATCATTTAAGATTTTACTGATATTGTTGTTAAGTGCCATCAAGTCGGTTCCGACCCATAGTGACCCTGCACAGGGGTTCTGAGACTGTAAATCTTTACGGGAGCAGAAAGCCTCATCTTTCTCCCACAGAGCGGCTGGTAGTTTCGAACTGCTGACCTTAAGGTTCACAGCCTGATTCGTAACCACTACGCTACCAGAGACTGATAGAATCCTTCAATATTGCAACTCAAGGCTTGAATTTTTCTTCAGTTCCTTCATCTTGAGAAATGCGTGTTCCTCCTTTTTGGTTTTCTAACTCCAAGTCTTTACACATTTAATTATAATATTTGACTTTGTCTTCTTGAGTTGACCTTCAAATTTTTCTGTTCAGCTCTTTCACCTCATTTCTTAATATTTGCTTTAGCACCTCTATTGGCAAGCAAGTTTCAGAGGGTCTTCTGACATCCACTTTGGTCTTTTCCTTCTTTCTTATCTTCTTAATGATGGTTTGCTTTCTTCCTGTATGATGTTCTTGATGTTGTCCTAGAACTCTTCTGGTCTTTGGTCTTTAGTGTCTAATGCATCAATTATGTTCATGAGATGATGTCTAATTTCAGGTGGGATATATTCAAGTCATATTTTGGCTTTTGTGGATTTGTTTTAATTTTCTTCAGCTTCAGCATGAACTTGCATCTGAGCAATTAATGGTTTGTGCCAAAGCCTGCCCCTGGCCTTGTTCTGGCTGATAATATAGAGCTTCGCCACCATTTCTTCCACAGGTGCAGTCAATTTGATTCTGTTGAGGTCCATATGTATAATCATCTTGTATGCTGTTTAAAAAGGTGTTTGCAATGAACAAGTTATTGGTCTTTCAAAATTCTACCACGTGGTCTCCAGCATCATTTCTATCACCAAGGCCATCTTTTCCAACTACTGACCCTTCCTATTTGTTTCTAACTTTTGCATTCCAATCGCCAGTAATTAGCAATACATCTTAAATGCATGTTTGGTCAATTTCAGACTGAAGAAGTTGGTAGAATTCTTCAATTTCATCATCATGGGACTCAGTGGCTGGTGTGCAAATTTGAATAACAGTAGTATTATGTGGTCTTCCTTTTATACGTATGGATATTATCCTATCACAGACAGTGCAAGATATATCTTGATATGTTCTTTTTGATGATGAATGTGACACCATTCCTCTTCAATGTGTCATTCCCAGGATAGTAAACCACGTGACTATCAGATTCAAAATGGCCCATACAAACCATTTCAGTTCACTAATGCCTAGGATAGTCAATCTTTATGAATTCTTCTTCATTTTGATAACTTCCAAGTTTTCTAGATTCATACTTCATACATTCCATGTTCTTATTATTAATAGATGTTTGCTGTTGCTTCACCTCATTTTGAGTTGTGCCTCATCAGCAAATGAAGGTCCCGAAAG